TGTTAGATATATTATATCTTTTATCTTTTAGTTAGTTTGTTATTATTTCTCATTTGTATTTTGGGCTTAGCCCATATTTCTTCTATTATAAATAGAGAACCCTATGTGTGTATTTAACACAAGGGAGATTAATCTAAATATAGTTTTTCACTATATTCAACATGGTATCAGAGCAGGTTCTCTGATCTTCTTCCAGGGTCTCTGCTGTCTGCCGGCGGCCGGCCGCCATGGCCGCCGGCAGCCCCTAAAATCTCATTGGGCAGTCCATTTTTCTTCTTAAATCTCTGCCACAGTCAGCACCAGTCCAGACCCAGTGTGCCACTGCTGTCGCCGCCACTTTCCGCTGCCGTCACTGCTAACTCCGGCCGTTTGCCGCTGTCCGGCCGTTTGCCGCTGTCCGCGCCGTTTGCCGCTGTTCGCGCCGTTTGCCGCTGTCCGCGCCGTTTGCCGCTGTCCAGGCGCCGTATGCTTCCAACCACTGTAGGCCCCCATCACCTCGTCAGTTAGTGATGGCAGTCCCTGTAGTTTTGTCGCTTCCAGCCACTACAGGCCCCATCAATCAGTGAAGGCAATTTAGTCCCTGCAGGCCCCATCAGTCAGTGATGGCAATTTAGTCCCTGCAGGCCCCATCAGTCAGTAATGGCAATTTAGTCCCTACAGTGAGGGGGAGTATGGTTCCAAGACAACTCACATATATATGGGTGTAGTCCCTGCAGTTTTGTAGATTTCAGCTACTACTGTTGATCCCATCACCCATCCATCATTGATGAGGATTTAGTGTAGTCCCTGCAGTTTTGTAGCTCTTAACTTTCAGCTACCATTGTTGATCCCGTCACTCATCCATCATTGATTGGGAATCAGTCCTTGTAGTTTGTCATTGTCCACCACTGCTCTTCTTCATCCACTTTTGAAGTTGAAGTTTCACAAGCTGCTGTTAGTCCATCTATGTTTGCCTCACACTCTTGAAGACAAATCATCTAGTTCAACACTGAGTTCATCTATTCCAAGCTTAGTTCATACAATTTGTATGCTCCAGCTTGAGGGGGAGTGTTAGATATATTATATCTTTTATCTTTTAGTTAGTTTGTTATTATTTCTCATTTGTATTTTGGGCTTAGCCCATATTTCTTTTATTATAAATAGGGAACCCTATGTGTGTATTTTACACAAGGAAGATAAATCCAAATATAGTTTTTCACTATATTCAACAAGCTCGAATACACCCGGTTTTCCATGCTTCCCAATTGAAGAAGGCTGTGGGAGAGAGGACTGTGGAGAAGGAGCTGCCTGAAGATCTGCAGGGGAAGGGCCATCTTATTGACCTACTAAGGTTCTTGACCGAAGGCAAATAAAAAGGAGAGACGAGGAAGTTCCACAAGTGCTGGTTGAGTGGCAAGAAGGAGGCCGTGATGGAGCAACATGGGAGGATGTCATTACCATACGTGATCAATACCCAGAATTCAACCTTGAGGACAAGGTTGAACATGGGGCGGTGGGTAATGGTAGACCCTGGTTAGTTTACAAGAGGAGGGAGAGAACTAGATGACTTAACTATCTTAACGGTTAAGTGGCTGTTAGTAAGTGGGCGGGAAAAGCTGGTATTATAAATACCTCTATTAGAAAAGGGTAGAGGACTTTTGGTGATTGTAAGATACATAACAGGTTCTAGGAACTCTGTTGAGAGAGGTTATGCTCTCGTGACATTCATTGTACATTGAGATTACTTGTGAATAACAACATTTTTTCATTCTTTCTGGTGTTCTGTGTGTGTGAGAGTGCATTGTGGTTGGGTTTCCTAATTAGAAACCTAACAGTTGTGTTATAACTGCTTCTATTGTATGAATTGCTAACTAGCAACTGTACAGTTCCTTGTGTGAATGAACTCATTTTTAGTTTATTAGAATCACTTTATCTTCTATATCTTAATCTTTTCTCAATTATTAATTATTAATATATGACAACTACTTAATTACACTATTCTTTATTTGTGTCTGTGTTTAGGGTGTAATTGAGTGTCCTTGTCCAGATAAAGATATCAGGAGATTTGATGCAAATATGCGGTTGTTTCCCCCATTTATTGATAATGATATATGCCCTTTAACCATTAAAAACACCATTCTTCAGTCATGTTACTTGAGAAACACAGAGTGGGCTTGTGGAGTGGCTGTCTATACAGGCAAGTCCATATATACAATCTATTAAATTCTTGGAACTGTGAATACTTTTTCAGAAACAATTTAAATTTTGGTATCTGGCATGTATTTTATTTCTTCAGGTAATGAAACCAAAATGGGCATGAGTAGAGGTATACCAGAACCAAAGCTCACTGCTATGGACGCCATGATTGACAAGTTGACTGGCGCTATTTTTATATTCCAAATAGTTGTTGTTCTTGTTCTTGGCATAGCAGGGAATGTTTGGAAGGAGACAGAAGCTAAGAAGGTATGATACAGTTTCTCAAAATAGGTTTCTTGGGCAATGATAATTGTATCAAATCTTGTACCTATCAGGATATGCTCACCAGTGTTTATTATTTTTAGTTTGCTATATTTCCCTTTTATGGTAGTAGCATGCACCCTTAGCAATTTTGATTTTGTTTCAACATAGAGCATATCGGCTTGGCTGGTTGCTTCCTTTGCACTTTCATGTGAATTATGTAGTTGGGTGTAAATTTTACTATTTGTAAGCACACTTTGGTTTATTTTAGGAAATATTCCTCATAACCTTTTTAGTCCCTCCCTATGTCAATGAATGCTCAGGCATCATGGTTTCTTTTTTCTTTTTCTTAGAATAACCACTTCTTTTGTAATTTCCTGTGTCATCATGCTATTTTTTCATTAAAGGATTTTTTTTCCCTGAAATCTTACTTTTATGGGGTGTTTGGAACATCATCCAAAAAACACATTTTCTCAAAACCATGTCAAAGTGGAGAAAAATAAACAGAAGCATATTTATATTGGTTCTGCGTTCCTGCTTTGGATGGGAATCAAAAACATGATATTAGACTTTTGTTCTGTTTTGATGCCTTATCTTTCATAATTCTATGGAAGTTTCCGTGTTATCATGTAGGTGAATTCTCATGTTTTTTCTTTCTTTTGTTTTTCAAAGCAATGGTATGTTCTTTACCCTCATGAAGGTCCGTGGTATGAACTGTTGGTCATCCCTTTGCGGTTTGAGCTTCTCTGTTCCATCATGATACCCATTTCAATTAAGGTAAGCTGATGATATAGATTTAGCGTACATTATATTATATATAACATGCTTGTCATTTGGATAACAGTCATAATATAGATAGCGTAGTGGAAGTCCTTGAAGGTAAGAACATTTATGACCTTAAGAACTAAATGAAAATATCATTGAAACTTAAGTTCTAATTAAACATAGGATTTTCGGTTGATAATCCTAGTGCTAATGCCAATTATTATTGTTATTTAACTTCATAACTTTTAAATTGAGTAAATATATTGAGGGTAACTTTCTAATTTGATAGAGCCAACTGTTCCGTGTCTGTCAGGTATCTCTGGATTTGGTGAAGAGCTTGTATGCAAAATTTATTGACTGGGACAATCAGATGATTGACCATGAGACTAGCATTCCATCCCATGCAACAAAGTAAGTAACCAAATGATCCTATTATTAAAGAATTTAAAATAAGATAAATTTTGTAAGCTGTGAAATGTCTTGTATTATTAAGGATTGAGTTACAAAACTCAAGTATTTTTATAATCGAATGGCATGAGGTGCAAGCTAGTTGGTTAAGATATCAGTGGAAAATAAGACTGATTTATTATTCTCAATCATAAAAAATACATTCTGATACTCTCTATTTGTAATAATCTAATTCTCCTAAAAAGGGAAATAAGAAAACTAGGAAAGTAAAATAAAATAAAAGGTTATATATCTATTTCCTCTAATTAGGAAGATTCTAAAGATATTATCTCAAATTACAACACTCTCCCTCAAGCTGGATCATACAAGATTGTATGAACCAAGCTTGGAATAGTCAAACTCAATTGTAGAGAACGTCAATAAACCAAATTTGACAGCAATGGACGAGGACGAACTAGTACCATGGAACTTCAACTTGGACAGCAATGGACGAGGGCGAACTAGCACCATGAAACTTCAACTTGCACAGCGATGGACGAGGGAAATTTCCATCAAAAATGGATGATGACTTGCAGTAGCAAACAACAACAAACTATAAGGACTGGATTGCCATCAATAGTGGTGAACAACAACAAAACTTCAAGAACATGATTTCCATGATGGGAGGCCTTCAAAGGCTAACAGCCACAAACCTGTAGGGACTTAACCACCCTGAACAATAATGAACCTTTAGGGACTTAATTGCCCTAACAACAACGAACCTTCAAGGACTTCACTGTCCTAAACTTTAGGGACTTAACTGCCCTAACAAAAATGAACCTTCAAGGACTTCACTGTCCTAACCTTTAGGGACTTAACTTCCCTAACAACAACGAGTCTTCAAGGACTTTACTGTCCTGAACAACAACAAACCTGCAGGAACTGAACTGTCTGCAGTGGCTAACAACAACAAACCTATAGGGACTTAACCACCCTACAGCGGCTAAAACAACAACAAACCTTCAGGGACTAACTACCCTGCGGCGGCTGAAACTTTTCTTCCCTTCACGACTGAACGACATATGCACGTCAATGACAGAACGTGAAGGTGGAAGAACTGGTGATAACTGATTCGTACTTGGGGACAAATCTGAAACCCCTAACATCGAACGAGCCAAATCAGCGGGCGGTCTCATAGAACAACTCTCAGTGAGCTGTTATAACAAAGCATTGGCAGAAACCAAAAAACACCAAAGATTGGGACTTATGATGGCATCAAAAGGCCAAAGCCAGGTTGGAGGTCCAAAGTTCTGTGCTGGACTACTCCAAAAAGGTGATACTTAACACTGTATCAGAAGAAGTACGGGCTAAACTCTAGCCCAAAAAGAAAGTTTTCTGCAGGGGCTGAAAAACATTTTCCCTCACGGCAAACAACAAGAACGACGACTAGTGCACTTCACGAGACACTCTTAATCTTGACCAAAGAAAATACGGCAGCTTATGGAGGCAACAACGACAAACTGCAGAGGTTACACAACTGACTGCAGCGACAGCGGCATTAAAGCACCCGCCAACAAGGCTGATGAATTCTTGACTGAAACATTACAGCTACAGAAATAGACTCTCCTTCATGCCACAGGCCAACGGGGACATCACACTTGCAAGAGAGAATCACAATTGTGGAGACAAGCTTGGCCACATGTGTTAGGGCATTCGGCGGCACAAGCGGTAGAGACGTCAGCAAGAAGCACCACTCAGTGCCGCACAAGAAAGAGGAAGAAGAAATCCATTGGTGGTGGCAAAAAGCCCGTGAAGGCAGAGAACCCTTCTCAATGGAGAAGAAGATGACGGAAGAAACACAACAAACATTGCCGCCCAAGAAGTTACCGAAACACTTACACACTTTGTAATTGTTAGTGTCTTTCCTTTCGTCAAACGGAAGGCAAAATGGGAGGGAGGAAGAAGAAGTTCATTGACAAGAAGAACTCTGCCACTTTCCAGCTCATCGCTAGCGACGCCTCTGACCCATCTTTCTCCCAATCCAATTGCGTCTTTGTCCGTGTTGACAACAACCCCGTTTCCTTCCCCGATGCTGAAGATGCCGGCTTTGACGATGCTACTGGTGACTACGACGACTACGATGGAGTTAGCGGTGGCTCATTGCCCGAGGACGTCAGGAAGTAAATTCTGGAGCTAAGTGGTTTTTGAGAACGTCCGGGAAACGGACAATGAGGGAAAATGGAAGGCTAAGGCCCCCCTACAGATTTGGAATCGGAGGCCTTCTTCACAATTTTTTAGCGAATCAATTTCCAGGTGCAACTGGATGGCACCTTTCAGGATGGAGAAGAAAATAGCGGAAGTAGTAGAGGTAGGAATTACAACTGACTGTGACGGCAGCGACGGCGGCTGACTGCAGCGGTGGCGGTTGACTGCATCGGAGAGAACAGCAAAGGGTAGTAGTTGCGAAGTGGAAACGCGAGGTGACACCCTCTCCTCCTCGCGGCTGAGATGGATCCTCGTCAACCCGTCGGGAAAGTGTGTTGCGAGGAAGATGAAGATTCTGTGAAGCAACAAAGATGGTAGCAATGGAAGCTATGGAGGGTCATAATAAAGAGGAGGTCCGGCGAGTCGACCGGAAGCGTCGCGGTGTGATTCCGACACCGGGACAGCGGCGCGTGACAAACACACACATGAGATCTGACGGAGAGAAGAGGCGCGTGACGGCGCGTGCGGAGGAGTCTGAGACGTCGACCACTAGGGTTAGATCGTGCTCGAAGAGACGATCTAGATTCGCTGGTCACCGGTCGAAACTGCGACGGTGGTCGGCGGCGGACAGTGGCCGGCGGTGGCAGTCGGTTATCGACAGTGGAGATCGATTGGGTTGCGGCTGGCGACGGCTGGTTCGGTGGAGGCAATTGCTTTTCTAGGGTTCCCAGAAGACTTTAGGTCTCTTTGATTCTGGGTGCATATGAATGGAAGCCAATGAGAATGCCAAGTTTGGGCATTAGAGAAGGACCCATTCTAGTTTTACTGGGCCAAAGTATGGAAGAACAACTTCTTTAGCTGTTATAAGAGGAAACCAACTTGTTGTTGGTCATGAAGATTCTAGGTGGCTCTTGTGAAAGACACTCAATTGATCTAAGGATCATAAGCATAAACTTGGCTACGGAAACTGGAGTAGGACTGTCCATTGAAGGTACAAAGGTACTGGTTAAAAAAGAGATTTTTAAGGGGCCGGCGGCGGCCATGGCGGCCGACCACCGGCGGACAACAAAGACAGCGGAAGTAGATCAGACAAGCTCTGATACCAAGTGGAAAATAAAACTGATTTATTATTTTCAATCATAAAAAATACATTCTGATACTCTCTATTTGTAATAATCTAATTCTCCTAAAAAGGAAAATAGGGAAACTAGGAAAGTAAAATAAAATAAAAAATTATATATTTATTTCCTCTAATTAGGAAGATTCTAAAGATATTATCTCAAATTACAACAATATCTATCTGTTCTAACACTAGATTCCAGCAGTCCTAACATAATGAAAGATGGATAGCTCAAGGTACAAGCTAGTGAGTTAGATCTAACTGTTCTACAACAGACTCCAGCTCTCCTAACGAATAACAGCTGACTAAGTTCTAACACTAGAGTCCAGCAGTCCTAACATAACGAAAGATGGATAGCTGGAGGTACAAGCTAATGAATTAGATCTAACTGCTATACAACAGACTCCAGCTCTCCTAACGAATAACAGCTGACTAACTAACTATTAAAGGGTGCCGACGCAATGCTGAGTCTTCTTAATATACTAGCAGAGAATAGTCTAATAACACAGTATACTATCATAGAAGCACACTTCTTCTTTATTTATTTATTAATGATGTTTGTTATATATGACAGTACAGCGATAAGTGAGGACCTGGGACAAGTTGAGTACATTTTGACTGACAAAACAGGAACACTTACTGAGAATAAGATGATATTTAGAAGATGTTGTATTGGTGGCAATTTCTACGGAAATGAAAATGGAGATGCATTGAAGGGTATGGTTGCTTGAGGAAACTTTTCTTTTTGCCTTGTTAACATTTAACAGTTGTATTTGAACTTTTCCTTTACCATAGAAAATGTGTGGAAGATATATTGAAATTTGTCTAAATGAGTTGGCTTCTTGTTTTGAGCGTGTATTGTATCTTATGCATGGCTAGTGCCATGGATCTTGTGAATATAATGATCTAAGAAAACTAAACTGAATTGTGCTGTTTCCATCTACCAAGGAAAAAGGGTTACATATATTGCTTCCTTCAACAACAATACCGAAGGGCACATGTATACTAAATAAATTGAATTGAAATATATAAATATTATGTACACATTCAAGATGCTGCAAAAGCAGCGGACACTTATTTGGTTCTAACATAACAAAATTGTGTAATGGCTTTTCTCAAAATCGATAATCAAGGCAGCCTACTCTCATACTTATGGTAGTGAGATTTCCAGCCTTAACAGCTCCAATGGTATCCTTGGTTTACTAAGATTTAGTAATTTTAGTTTTCTTTATATGAACATGAAAGGATTCATATTTTCTTATGAACACGAGTGAATTCACTTCTATTCCTTTTCTTCCTTTACTGCTTCTGGATACACTCATTGTTTGTTTTAATCACTGACTATTTTCTGAAGATACATTTTATCTTTAATTGTTTCAGATTTCAAGTTTAACCACATGATTATTTACATCTTGTGATGTGCAGATGTAGAGCTTATCAATGCTGTGTCCAGTGGTTCTTCAGATGTTGTACGATTTCTTACAATTATGGCAATATGTAATACTGTCATACCTACGCGAAGGTAATTCTGCCTTTATCTTTGCTAGGACACCGGATATGACAACTGTTAAGGCTAACAAATTTCTTGGTTGGGATATTTTTAGTAAGCCTTTACTAGGAAGTTATTAATTTGTGCTTGATTTCTTGTTGTCATACTTAGCAAAACTGGAGATATCTTGTATAAAGCACAGTCTCAAGATGAGGATGCCCTTGTTCAGGCTGCTGCTCAATTGCATATGATTTACTTTAATAAGAGTGGAAATATTCTTGGTACTGTGCTTGCTGTTACTTTTTAAAGCATAACTGGCTAATTGGTTACATAAGTTCATTTAATCACTCTTTGTAATTTTTCAGAAGTCAACTTCAACTCTTCAATACTTCAGTATGAAGTCCTGGAAATCCTAGAGTTCACCTCTGATAGGAAAAGAATGTCAGTAGTATTGAAGGATTGCCAAAATGGAAAGATCCTTCTATTGTCGAAAGGAGCAGATGAGGCTATTCTTCCGTTTGCTCGTGCGGGTAAGGATATTTATGTTTCCTGTTCAATTGTATGTTATGGTATTCAAATAATGTTTACACAGGGATATTCTTTCAATTCATGATTCTTTATACTTCTCCTTTCTTCTCACAAATATGGCCAGCTGTTGGTTTAGAGTCAGAGAGCAGTATAATGATTTCAGATGAGCAGGGAGTGAAATATTGAGATTAAATACTCATGTGCTATTGTCGTAACTTGTAACTACTTTTACAATCCTTGCCAAATATTGGTGCCAAAATGTTGTCAGTTCTTTTCTTTTATTTTACCGTCCCATTCTTTTCCTTAGACCTGTTTGCATGTATTGTAACTAACTTTTCAAATCTGATCCGATCAGAATTGATCATATGATTTAGATTAATTGAATGACTTTTAATTAAATCTGACTTGAATATTATAAGGTCTGGCTTTGGCTATAAACTTGTGAATTTTTACAAGGCCCATCTTCTTTAAAGGCTGACAAAAGATCTACATTAGATAAAGGGGAAAACTTGGTTCTGTGTCTAGGACTTACAACCGCAACCAAATTGAACAGTTTAAAATTTAGGGGAGGATATGACACCTCAATCGATGGTAAGGAAAGCTTTTGAGGCTTAAAGAGAGTTTACAATGGAACTTACATCTACTTCATCTCACCCTACAGAGACAAGTGACTCGTGACCTATCAAATGTAAGACATGCCTTGTTTCTCTTGAGCAAACCCTTGGGTTTGTATATGTGTTATATCAGTTAGTTTTATGTTGATTTCTAAGGCCTAACTCAATCTTCTTCCGTTATCTGGGTTTAGGATTGATTGTGAGACCATTGATGGGGTTATATGATTATATATAGAAGTGATTAGTTTTGCATCATTTATGGAAAGATAAAGAGGAACCCCTAGGTAGTTAATGTATGTGCAAAGAAGGCCCTGAGAGGTACCAGTAAGAAGAGTGAATTTTGTTGAATATTTTTTTATCAAGAAATGTATATGCAGAAGGCTTTATTTTATTTATATGGAAATCATCATATTGATAGAACATGAGTAAAACAAGAAATCTATCAGGTAATAATAAACTGATAAAAGGTAATGCCTATAAAATAGGATAAAAACATATTTATCCTATTAGTTAATATTACTTTTATTTAAAATAAATTTACATAAAAAAATTAATGTATTCTGTTTCTTAATTAATTCCAACACTTTTTCTTCGACACTCCTCCTTGACTTTTGAACTACAAATTCCAAGTTTTTGTCTCAAGTATTCAAATCTAGCTTTTGAAAGTGCCTTGGTCATAATTTCAGCGCTTTGATTCTCTGTTTTGCTGTATAGTAACTTCACTTCTCCTTCACTTGAAGAAAAACTTTCTCTTAAAATGTTTAGTTTTTCCATAAAACACTGGATCATTGGCAGTTGAAATTGAAGCTGGTTGTCTATAAAAACCTGTATACTTTCTTCTTGTTCCACATACGAATCTGTCATGATTGTTCTGATTGAAAGAGTCTGATTCACTGCAGCAACAACAACTACATATTCTACATTTGTAGTTGATTGAGCTATAAAATCTTGCTTTTTATAGTGCTAAGAAAAAACTCCAGAACCAAAAGAAAAACAGTAACGAGATGTGCTTTTTACGTCATCAACACAACCTATCCAATCACTGTTATAGTATCAATGAAACTTAAACTCATGAGAACGAGAGGACATCACACCATAATCTAAGAGCCTTTAATATATCTAACAATTCATTTGGCAGCTCAAGAATGAACATCACCAGCACTGTGCATGAACATTGAAAGAATACTTACTGCAAACATGATGAGGTCTCGTAGTAGTAAGATACATTAGGAAACCAATTTAGCTTTTGGAATAATGTTCATCTATGTTATCGGTTCCATCATCTTTGCTAAATGACTTCTTCTGGTTAATTGGTGTATCAATGCTTAGTCCTCCATGCAGAAATTCTTTAGTATTTCCTGTACATTTTTTTTTTGACATATAGAAGCTCCATCTTTATCTTGCTTCACTTTCATTCCCAAGAAGAAGGACAATAAACCAAAGTATCTCATTTCAACTTTGAACTCCGTTATTAGTTTCTCATCAATCCCTGTCACAAGTATGTAATCAACATTTTTAGAAACTATGATAAATTAACCCAAACCATTTTCCATCCTTTTTGTGTGGCCAAAGCAAGCATCATTCTGATTGTATCAATGAACAGAAGCAAATGTTTTTGAAAAATCTACCTCCAAACACATAAGCATATCCTTTGACTACTAATCGTACTGTGTAATTGTTTATAGAATCATTTGCATTAAGTTTGTTTATATAAAACCATTTGAATGCTATAGGTTGTTTGTGTTGAGGGCTTTCCACCATCTCCCATTTGTCATTTTCTTTGATCATTTTGAGCTCTTCCTCCATAGCTTTAGTAGTCAAATGTGTGTGGTATGTATAGTGTAGTAATGTAGTAACCGGATAATAATAAATAGTAAAAGGCCTGCTTGAACAAGCTTCTCTAGAAGTATTTCTAGAAGAGAAAAAGAAGTAAAAATGAAATGAACTTTTCCATAATAAAGCATAACAAATTAAAATAATAGTAATAAAAATGAATTAAAACACAATACGCTAACTAACAATAATTAGAAATAATATAATACTAAGAATATATATTTATATGTATATGTGTGTATATATATATATGTATATATATATATATATATATATATGTATGTATGTATGTATGTATGGATGTATGTATGTATATGTGTTCTAAAACATTGGAATAAGTACCCAAAAAAATTAGAATAGCTGTCATCTCAATACCACTACCTGCTATCGAGTTTTTATTTCCTTTGGGGTGAAGGGTGAGGGGGGCCACTGCTCCACCATTGACACCATTGATTATTGCAGGGCAGCAGACTCGACATTTCATTGAAGCTGTGGAGCAGTATGCTCACTTGGGATTGCGTACATTATGTTTGGGTTGGCGTGAGTTAAAAAAAGATGAATATAGAGAATGGTCTTTGATGTTTAAAGAGGCCAGCAGCACTTTGGTTGATAGGGAGGTAAATGGCATATACTTATGGCTTATTTAACGTACTTTTACTCAAAAGCTCCATTTCTCAGATTAATATCTTTCACAGTGGAGAGTAGCTGAGGTCTGTCAACGAGTAGAACATGACTTGGAAATTCTTGGTGTAACAGCAATAGAGGATCGTTTACAGGTGAAAATTAGCTGTACTAGCTGATAACAAACTCATAGATAATACTTTTAAATTCATGTAATTTTACTGAATCCCATCCACTTTAGATGAAATGGAAAAAATTAAAGAATTTCCCCAGTGATTTTATGTGATGACCATTATGATTTATTTTTATGTTTTGCTTTTAGGATGGAGTGCCTGAAACGATAGAAACTCTAAGAAAAGCTGGAATAAATTTTTGGATGCTAACTGGAGATAAGCAGAATACAGCAATACAAATCGCTCTGTCATGTAATTTTATTTCCCCAGGTGATTGATTTGAGATCATGTTGTAGAATATTGTTTTCTTCTTAGTGATGTGCAAATAGTACAACTATTGTTTTCTTCTTATACTGAGGACGGGACATCTTGAGCGTGACATTAAATATTTATGGATAGTCCCATAATAGGTGACTCAATAGGTCTAACAACTTTCAATAGAATAAATTTTGATTCCATTTTACAAAGTAAACTTTAAACCTAATTCAATTCACAAAATCAACTTAGAAAATGAAGTTTGCTTCCACTTATGAACTATATATTACACTTTTTATCCATATAATTTTAATAAATAAAGAATGTAAATACTGATTAATTGTGCACAGGTTTAAAACAATCATAAAACTTAATATAACAATTGTTCCAAAACGTCAGAAAAGCATACATTTATGCATTTTGATGATTACTATCTATCTGACATCACTGATAATGGAATGATGTAATGTGATAGCTTAAAATCAAGAAGTATCTTGAATACCTCACCTGAATTTAAAAGTATCTTAATATCCTATTCAAGATCCACATAAATTTAATAATGTAAATACTGATTAATTGTGCACTGAAATTTAAAGTTCTTAATATGATGATCATTCCCAAACGTAGTCAGACACACTATTTATAAATTGTACTAATCACTAGCTATCTGAAAACACATTGATAATTGGAATGAAATAAATCAGGAAATATATATAATACCTTATTTGAATGTGTGACTTCTGGTTAACAGCTTGGGCTACCAACATAAAAAAGAATACTTTTTACTGTTTGATTAGCATTCTTCATACTTAATTGAAAGGTTATTAATTTATGTTGGTAATACTGAATTGGCTTTATTCTTACAATTCCCTGCCCCTAAAACTAAGAACTGAATGGATAGCTTCTATCAATTGATGGGGATAAAATAACTTCTTTTCAGCTGATAAAAATTTTGGTAATTGAAATTATGCAAAGATTCGAATAAGGAAATATTTAGAAATATATTTTCTTTGAATTTGAAATATGTCAAAGTCCTATTCTGGATGCTTCAAAGGTTCATAGCTTAGCTTACCAACATAAACAACACCACCGTTTCAACTTCAACTTAAATATGTGTTGATCATAGTCCCATTTTTTAAGAGCTTGTCTGTTTATGTGCACAAATTGCATTAAATTTTATTGTTTGATTAGTATTATACATCCTTCTTTGGAAGGTTTATATTGAGGAGCCTTTTTTCTTACAATTCACTTCCCAAAAACTAACAGAACCAAAGGGACAGCTTCTATCAATTGATGGAAAAACAGAGGAAGAGGTTTGTAGGAGTTTAGAAAGAGTGCTACGAACTATGCGGATAACTACCTCAGAACCCAAGGTATTGCTTATTAGTTTCTGTATTATCTTAGAATCCACTATTTTTGTTTTTCTTTACCGTTCATTTTTTTATTGTGTGGTTTCTATTTTGAAGGATATCTTATTATTTGCTCTTGCACCTTTTCTATCCCTTTCTTTTGTCCAACAAATTTCTTTTCATATCTAAAATAAAATAAATCGAGTTATGAGCAACTTGTACGGACACATCAGGTAATCTAACTAGGAACTCATTTTTGCAAGCATATGGTGAGATCAAGATAATTTGAAAGGTTTTGGAATTCATCTGATCATTCTTTTCTCAAACAGGATGTGGCTTTTGTTGTTGATGGTTGGGCACTTGAGATTGCACTTACTCACTACCGTAAAGCTTTCACTGAGCTGGCAGTTTTGTCGAGGACCGCTATATGTTGTCGTGTGACACCATCACAAAAAGCACAGGTTTTTGTTTTCACCATTTTATCTGCTTACAATAATATGTTGCTTCTGTTTTTGTAAGGCTAAGCTTTATAAGGATGACTTAGTGGTAAAGTTGGAAGAGAGGGTGGGAGAGGTTGTGGATTCAACTCCTCCAACAATTTGGAGATATAAGGTTGGTTTGAAGGGCTTGGAAGGAACGGAGGGTGGGAGAGGTTATGGATACAATTCCCCCGGTAACAAATACTAACAACTAACATTGCCGATAAAAAAAAAAGGGCTAAGCCTTGCATTCCTTCATTTTTAGTTGCCATCCATGTTAATAAGGGGTGTCTGGGCTCCTTTTAATTAACTAACCTATTGCAATAAGACGGGGGCTGAGATGACCAGTATCTTATGTTTTTCTCTAATGGGAACATGGTACTTCTATTTGTATTATTCAATTCTACTTTATCAGAAAGTAATGACTCTGATTTGTCTTGTATACTATTTCTTGTTGCAGCTTGTTCAGATCTTAAAATCATGTGATTATCGAACATTGGCTATTGGTGATGGTGGAAATGATGTAAGGATGATACAACAAGCTGATATTGGTGTGGGTATCAGTGGCAGAGAAGGATTGCAGGCAGCAAGAGCAGCTGATTACAGTATTGGAAGTAAGCCATTTTACTCCTTTGCTGGTGCAATCATATGATATGTATACTGTTCTTCAACACAGTTCCCCAGTTACCGTCTGTTTCTTGTATTTTGAATTTGCTAGATATTTATTTTCACACATATGGTTCAATTTCTGACGCTGTTCTGTATATAAACCTATATCAATGACTTTTCTTTATTATTCTTGACTATAATTTGATTCAAAGCTCTTCTACTAATTAATATTTTTTAGTGGTTGGAATAAGAATAAGACAGGGCAGATTACTGTTTCTCATTCTTTCTAGTTGCTTATGACTACAAGATTTCATCTCTTTGATGTTATGGTTATTCTGTTCATTTTCAGAGTTTAGATTCCTGAAGAGATTGATTCTGGTCCATGGCCGCTACTCATACAACCGCACAGCATTTCTTTCTCAATATTCATTCTACAAGTCCCTACTGATTTGCTTCATCCAAATCTTGTGAGTTTCTTTGACAAGCTCTTGAATTTTTTTTTCCTAACAAACATTACATATGTCCCCAGCCAGTATGAGCTGGGTAGCTGTATACAGTAAGTTTCACAGAAACACCCACAGCTAGCCCAGAAAAAAAGGAAAACAATGTCTTTTGTTTTTCCATTCTATTTCTTGTGGTTATTATGACTATGATAATCACCCAAGCATTTCAGGAATCTACCCTTAAAAGCTAGTTTTTAAGGGACACAAATCAAATACTTATATATTCCACTAAACATCTCATTATTGGATGTAAGATTTAGGTAACTCAGTACCCAAGTCCCATCATTTTCAAAATATCAACAATTAATTCTAATACCAAATTATTAAGCAGTCAAACATTTGAGGAACCCACTTAAACTGTTAAGGGGGGTGGAGAACCAAACAGACTCCACCAAACATTTCATATTACTCACTGTGGGACTTAGACATCCCATAATATAAGTCCCTATTAAAATGTTGTGATGCATGAAATACATTCCAATCTTCTTTATATTGATCTATTCTCAAATTTTTAAGGTACTGATGGTTGCATCTCCAGTTTTTCATTTATTTCAGGTGTCTCTGGAACTAGCCTCTTCAATTCTGTTAGCTTGATGGCTTACAATGTTTTCTACACCAGTGTCCCTGTTCTAGTCAGCGTGCTTGACAAAGATCTTAGTGAGGAAACTGTAATGCAACATCCGCAAATTTTATTTTACTGCCAAGCGGGAAGGTTTGTAATTGTGCTGCTTTTTGTTGTATTACAACTGGATATCCCTTCAATTAACCGGAAAAGGAAAATTTTTTATGGCCATTTCATTGGGTAAGCATTTGACTAGAAATGTTGAAACAGGCTTCTGAATCCTAGTACATTTGCTGGATGGTTTGGGCGATCTCTGTTCCATGTGAGTTTTATTTGATATTAATCAATTGTTTATAAGATGATGAGTTTATAGGAAGCTTATAATCATGAGTCGTAACCAGTGTTGTTATCGCTGGGCCAGAATTCTGCCATATGCATACGGTGGATGGTTTAGCAGCCTATGCATGAGCAAGGTGGAAAAGAGAAAATTAATATAAATGTATAGTAATTAGGTGTTAAAGCAGCTATTAAATTGATAAAGAATAATAAAAATTTAAAAAGAGTGTCACATATTAAAAAAGGATGTATAAATATTAAAGTGAATAACAAAAATAATTGAAAAAGGAAAAAATAAAAAAGCAGTATAAATATTTATTCTGCTGTTTAACTTTCAATTCTATTAATTATTTATCTCTACTTCAAAATTATTTAGTATATGTGTCTGGTCATTTATCATTGGTATTGATTGTAATTTGCAGGCAATAGTTGTATTTGTGATAAGCATACATGCCTATGCTTATGATAAAAGTGAAATGGAAGAGGTTTCAATGGTTGCACTTTCGGGTTGTATATGGTTACAGGCTTTTGTAGTGACAATGGAGACCAAGTAAGCTTTAATATTGGTAGCCATTGATACAACTGTTACCTCGACTTAGAGTGCTATGCTGTTTGTAATGAACTGAAAGGACTATCTTGTGTATAATTTTTGGTGGTGCTGGAGTTGGTGGGGAGGAATATTGCTTTTTTGGCTTGGTTGCAAATGTTTGGTTGGCATAGAAATTCCGGAAAAAAGTCGTTTTATAGTTCAAAGCATTTTGCTTCAACTCGTTGGAGAAGTTTTTCTGGTTTGATTACCTGACTCTTATTTTTTATGCCTACAGTTCCTTTACTATATTGCAACATATGGCTATATGGGGTAATTTGGCTGCCTTTTATGTCATTAACTGGATCTTCAGCGCTCTTCCTTCATCAGGGATGTATACAATTATGTTCAAGTTGTGTCATCAGCCGTCATATTGGATAACAGTATCTGTAAGTAGCTTCTCATTTCTTGCACCTTAATGAAGTTGTTCACTCTCAATTTTGCTCTTTCTCTTTCCTTTCTATTCTCATCAGGATTGCATTCAAGATTTTGTTTTTCTATTTTTTATTTCGAGTAAAACAAATTAAACACGTCCATGCTATTTCCATGTTCTCCTTTCCAGCAGTGTTAGATCACGAAATTTAACATTCTACAGGAATCTTGTCCCAAATCTGTACGGCATTGAGTTCTATATTTTCCTGATAAAATTCACGTATATTTCTTGCCTGTAAAATAAATTAACATAGATTGCATGGCTCTCGCAAGAAGCCAAATTCATTAACGTTATATGCATTGAGCTCCTTTATTTTTCTTAATAAAGTTCACACATCTATTTCTTTGCCTGTGAAATAAATCGACGTAGGTTCGATGGCCCTAGCGAGGAGCCAAATTCATTCACATTTTCTTTTTGCTAAAATACGTTGATTATGGTTTGATAGAAACTATTATTCCATACAGCTCATGGTTGCGGCAGGGATGGGTCCCATTCTAGCTATCAAGTACTTCCGATATACATATAGACCGAGCAAAATCAATACATTGCAGCAAGCTGAACGTGTGGGCGGGCCAATTTTGTCTCTTGGCCCCATTGAGCCTCAGCCGAGATCTATAGAGAAAGATGTTTCTACCTTGTCAATAACACAACCCAAAAACAGAAATCCTGTGTATGAACCACTGTTGTCAGATTCCCCGAATGCTACCAGAAGATCTTTCGGATCAGGAACACCATTTGATTTTTTCCAGTCACAATCAAGATCATCTCTGTCTAACTACACAAGAAAGGACAACTGAGATTAAGGAGCAACTGGATGAGCACCAGATGCCGCATCTTAGTTGTATATCCCTTTCGATCAAAATTAACCAAGTACATTGTCAGTTACGTGTATACTAATGTTATTTTGTAAATTGGGCACCTCTGAAGTGCCATTAGATAATTGTCGATATAAAGCGAAAAGGAAATGAATTTTCAAGATTCAATAGATTATCTGATTGTTTTTATATTACTATTATTTATTTTTCCCCAACTTCTGGTTGGAGACATATTTGATTTCTTCGTCACTGAAGTACATTCTGCACTTTATATTCTCCAGTTAGGGGGTTATATTGCATTTATTAAAGAGTAATACAACTGGTGGCTATCAAGAAAGTGGGCAGGTCAATGAATGCTAAATTCGTAGTTTTTTTTTCCTTAGTGGAAGCATCTGGAAAATGATAATTCGTTGAGGTTAAATGTTGATATGCAGGTTGCAGATGAATAGAAGTAGTGACAGTTTTAATGCTTACCTCAGGAGAACTTAATCCTCTAAAGTATGCTCCTCACCAATCGTTGTCAGAACCCTGCTGCAAATTGCATGGCTATTGGCGAGTAAGCGATGATTATAATAGAGTAAACAATTAATTAGTCTCTGCAATTACAATTACTCGTTGTTGTTGTCCATGAAATTATGAAATTAATACTCTTGATAATGTCTTTTGAGCATCAGTTAATTTAGTTTTAAATGTTGGGGATTAAATCAATTGGTAATCGAGAAATCCATTACATCAAGTTGGCAATGATTGTTAACTTTCTGGAACTAAATTGTTTGACATTATAGAAATTGGGGGTAACCTTTTTATTTACAGTTTGAAATATTATTTCAATTGAATACATTATTCAAGTAAATCAAAGTGCATGTCAAACTCAGTAACTTAAACATTTTGTATGCATAAAATTGCTCCATCACCAAAACAGCACTCATTTACAAGATACCAACAATTCTGTGGGTCAAGAAAACTGCATGCATGACATGAGTTATAATAGTCTTATACTCGCTCGTTTAATGTCTTCTATAATTAAAAATTGACAAAGAAAGCAAAGACTATTATAAATTTCAAAGATTATAATGTCGTTTTAACATGGGTTGTTTCCTTTTATTATATCATATGGTGGTGTAAGTTTATGCATCACCACCTAACATAAGCTTACAAACCAGCAAATCCCGCCATAAGAGTTATTCCAAACAAAACACTATGAATCCTTACCCATAACCCTACCCTAGCTGTCTTTCGAACAAGTCTGCATGGTTGCATCCTAAGACGCTATCAACAAATGCTATGCTGTCCAAGTTTCCACTATGAATCAGTGTCCTTTTTCTTTAGCATGAAAAATAGCTAGTTAACAAGGCTTATAATGTATTAATTGCCTGCATTTTGGATCTCAAAATTATAGTCATGAAATTGAATTTCATAAGTGCCACCCTACTACCTATGTCACACTGCCTTCACTTGATTCATCTCATCTCCATTTTAGGGGTCTCACCTCAGCGTAGCAGGCTTTTACTTTTAACATTTTTGTCTGCATCTTTATCTTATTTCACTATGAAATTAACTGAAGTATTAAAGGGTTTTTAAAGCATCTCTGCCATTTTTTATCAGTGGGACCAGCATGGTAGATCAGTGCAGGTATGGCGTCCAAAAGTAATCCAAGACCACCCCTTAAACACAAATGAATTATAATAATAAAAAACTTTCAAATATTTCGCAATATATTTATCTTTCTTGTTTCTTTCATAATCTGAACTTGAAATTACTTTTATATTTTTATGTGAATTTTGAATTGCTTTCTCACTTTATTCATTTCCCAGGTATCTCTTTCAAAATTTAATTCATCTAGAAACCTGCATTCTCTAAAATCCAAATCCTCATCAGAACAATAATTAACCAATTTCTGTCAGTGATTAAGAAATGGATTTGAAGAATTATTCACAATTTAGATCTTCCAGACTAGTGTGAGGGAACACAGATGCATCTTAGGTAGCTACAAATTTATTGTACGGAAGGTACCTCCGCTGCATGACCATGTCAAATCATGAAACAGTCTTCAACACCTTTATTACTCAAATGGAAAAAACCTGCGAGATCACATCCTTTCAAATGGTTAAATCTTCTCTCTTAAAATTAGTTTTTCCTACCCGTGTTTCTTAACGTTTTCTTTAATTGAAAGAGAAATAAAAAAAAAAATACAGATTGAGGTAAATATTACTTAACCAGAAGGTAGCGTAATTTTTGTATAAAATAGAATAACTTCTTTTGGATGAAATATGGCTGGACAACGTAGATACATAAATGTATCTCTTTTATTGCATTGTTTTCTAGGTTCATCTAAATGTTTCAAAACATTTAAATACTACTACAAATGTCAATATAAACTCATCAAAAGCTTACCTGATCCGAAACTCCGAAAAAATTAATCGAGTTACAGTTAATGACTTTATTATTTGAATTATAAAGTCTTTTGTCTGTAAATGAACACAGATGAAAAAACAGACTAGATAAAAAATAATTACGTATGCGGATTTTTCTCTGTCATATTTAAGGTATACAGAGTCTATCGAAATTATAACATGTACAATTCTAAGTAGTACATTTTAATTCGATTCAAATGAGTTATGGAAGACGAATAGAGATGAATCTGTTTGCTATTTGTAACTTTTCGCTTATCCATAAACTTGATTGTTATTAACAACGTAATTAACCTTTCATATATTACACAAGGGTTAGAAGTTTAACAAATAAAAGTAATTTATTAAGCAATTAATGAGCAATAAAATAGCAAAACTTGTTAGATTTTAGCTTTTAGTTGGTTTTCTATTTCTTCCCTTTTCCCTTGCTAAAGGACAAGACCATCAAAGAGATTTAATATCTTTACTAAATAAAGGACGCCAATGTTTAAATTTACAACTGTAAAGATACTTTCATTTCCCTTTTCTGCATCTCAAATTTATTTTTCAATCGACTTCACCAATTAACAGTTTTTCGCCTCACCAACTCAAAGTCCATCATCTACTTAAAAAACAAATGATCAAAGAATATAAAATTTCCCAGATTTATCATTATCCATCAATCGATCATTATAATATTGTTTCTATTTGATGATGTGTTGCCACGACAAAGATTGCATGTTTGCCATGTCTTGGAATCCACTTTCTGCACTTGTAAAGGCCAACATAACATCAAAAATATCATGATTTCCCATCCCAAAGATTTAGCTTGTTGAGGGTAGGTTTACCACGTAATTCTCACTACTCGGTGGTGAAAATAAAGCTAAAGAATTTTTCATTTTTGAAAGACAAAACCAATTACCCAAAATATTCCCTTATGCATTGAACAAGATGAAATCCAAATTACATAATTTGTGACAAACTTAACAAATTCAGAAAGCAATGAACTGCAACAATAATTAATAATAACAATAGACTCCAGAGACACATTATGTTTCTCCGCGGTATTTACAGTTTCATTCACTGTATCAGGAGTCATCTCACTACCAATTTCGTCACCATCTTCACCTTCTACATCAGCAACTCGTTTACCCACGCAAGATCTGGGACATTTGAGTCAGCACCGACAACGTTGTTGTTGTTGTTGCCTGTGAATCTGTTGCTGCAAAACGCAACATTTGTGGGTGTCTGAGTGGAGGATGGTGAAAAAATAAACTTCTGCTGATCTTCGCAGCCAAAAGAAGAAGCAATGAGCGGTTGTCGCTGTTGTTCCTCACAGTTCAGAGAAACATCAATCCAAGGCAAGTTCAATGTTTTGGCACCAGAAACAGGAGAACCCTCGTTCAAACTCAACCCCTCCAAGGAGTTCACAAATTCAGCGAAGGCTTCTTTGTAACTCACCACCCCATGACGAGGGTTTACATTCGCAGCACCATATAGGGAAATTGGAGAAACAGAAACCCCTTTTCGGGGTTTCAAGGGAGAAGGAGGTGGTGAGGAGGAGGAGGAGGATGGAGATAGCGGTGGTGAGTAATGAGACATGTTGAAGAGGGTTGAAGTTGGAGAAGCGGTGGAAGAAGAAGAGGAAGAAGAAACACAATGGCAAAAAACACAACAGCCGTTGTTGTTGGATCTTGAAGCATGGTTGAAGAGATTGTTAATGTTCTTCTTGCATGAAATGTCATTCGAAGAAGGAGAAGTTACCGGTAAAATTCTCAGCTGGCGAGGTGTGTGTGCAAAGAAACAAACCTTTCTCTTGCAGTTCTTTCCATCCTTACAGGCCTCTGTCCTGTATCTTGNCTGTCCAAGTTTCCACTATGAATCAGTGTCCTTTTTCTTTAGCATGAAAAATAGCTAGTTAACAAGGCTTATAATGTATTAATTGCCTGCATTTTGGATCTCAAAATTATAGTCATGAAATTGAATTTCATAAGTGCCACCCTACTACCTATGTCACACTGCCTTCACTTGATTCATCTCATCTCCATTTTAGGGGTCTCACCTCAGCGTAGCAGGCTTTTACTTTTAACATTTTTGTCTGCATCTTTATCTTATTTCACTATGAAATTAACTGAAGTATTAAAGGGTTTTTAAAGCATCTCTGCCATTTTTTATCAGTGGGACCAGCATGGTAGATCAGTGCAGGTATGGCGTCCAAAAGTAATCCAAGACCACCCCTTAAACACAAATGAATTATAATAATAAAAAACTTTCAAATATTTCGCAATATATTTATCTTTCTTGTTTCTTTCATAATCTGAACTTGAAATTACTTTTATATTTTTATGTGAATTTTGAATTGCTTTCTCACTTTATTCATTTCCCAGGTATCTCTTTCAAAATTTAATTCATCTAGAAACCTGCATTCTCTAAAATCCAAATCCGCATCAGAACAATAATTAACCAATTTCTGTCAGTGATTAAGAAATGGATTTGAAGAATTATTCACAATTTAGATCTTCCAGACTAGTGTGAGGGAACACAGATGCATCTTAGGTAGCTACAAATATATTGTACGGAAGGTACCTCCGCTGCATGACCATGTCAAATCATGAAACAGTCTTCAACACCTTTATTACTCAAATGGAAAAAACCTGCGAGATCACATCCTTTCAAATGGTTAAATCTTCTCTCTTAAAATTAGTTTTTCCTACCCGTGTTTCTTAACGTTTTCTTTAATTGAAAGAGAAATAAAAAAAAAATACAGATTGAGGTAAATATTACTTAACCAGAAGGTAGCGTAATTTTTGTATAAAATAGAATAACTTCTTTTGGATGAAATATGGCTGGACAACGTAGATACATAAATGTATCTCTTTTATTGCATTGTTTTCTAGGTTCATCTAAATGTTTCAAAACATTTAAATACTACTACAAATGTCAATATAAACTCATCAAAAGCTTACCTGATCCGAAACTCCGAAAAAATTAATCGAGTTACAGTTAATGACTTTATTATTTGAATTATAAAGTCTTTTGTCTGTAAATGAACACAGATGAAAAAACAGACTAGATAAAAAATAATTACGTATGCGGATTTTTCTCTGTCATATTTAAGGTATACAGAGTCTATCGAAATTATAACATGTACAATTCTAAGTAGTACATTTTAATTCGATTCAAATGAGTTATGGAAGACGAATAGAGATGAATCTGTTTGCTATTTGTAACTTTTCGCTTATCCATAAACTTGATTGTTATTAACAACGTAATTAACCTTTCATATATTACACAAGGGTTAGAAGTTTAACAAATAAAAGTAATTTATTAAGCAATTAATGAGCAATAAAATAGCAAAACTTGTTAGATTTTAGCTTTTAGTTGGTTTTCTATTTCTTCCCTTTTCCCTTGCTAAAGGACAAGACCATCAAAGAGATTTAATATCTTTACTAAATAAAGGACGCCAATGTTTAAATTTACAACTGTAAAGATACTTTCATTTCCCTTTTCTGCATCTCAAATTTATTTTTCAATCGACTTCACCAATTAACAGTTTTTCGCCTCACCAACTCAAAGTCCATCATCTACTTAAAAAACAAATGATCAAAGAATATAAAATTTCCCAGATTTATCATTATCCATCAATCGATCATTATAATATTGTTTCTATTTGATGATGTGTTGCCACGACAAAGATTGCATGTTTGCCATGTCTTGGAATCCACTTTCTGCACTTGTAAAGGCCAACATAACATCAAAAATATCATGATTTCCCATCCCAAAGATTTAGCTTGTTGAGGGTAGGTTTACCACGTAATTCTCACTACTCGGTGGTGAAAATAAAGCTAAAGAATTTTTCATTTTTGAAAGACAAAACCAATTACCCAAAATATTCCCTTATGCATTGAACAAGATGAAATCCAAATTACATAATTTGTGACAAACTTAACAAATTCAGAAAGCAATGAACTGCAACAATAATTAATAATAACAATAGACTCCAGAGACACATTATGTTTCTCCGCGGTATTTACAGTTTCATTCACTGTATCAGGAGTCATCTCACTACCAATTTCGTCACCATCTTCACCTTCTACATCAGCAACTCGTTTACCCACGCAAGATCTGGGACATTTGAGTCAGCACCGACAACGTTGTTGTTGTTGTTGCCTGTGAATCTGTTGCTGCAAAACGCAACATTTGTGGGTGTCTGAGTGGAGGATGGTGAAAAAATAAACTTCTGCTGATCTTCGCAGCCAAAAGAAGAAGCAATGAGCGGTTGTCGCTGTTGTTCCTCACAGTTCAGAGAAACATCAATCCAAGGCAAGTTCAATGTTTTGGCACCAGAAACAGGAGAACCCTCGTTCAAACTCAACCCCTCCAAGGAGTTCACAAATTCAGCGAAGGCTTCTTTGTAACTCACCACCCCATGACGAGGGTTTACATTCGCAGCACCATATAGGGAAATTGGAGAAACAGAAACCCCTTTTCGGGGTTTCAAGGGAGAAGGAGGTGGTGAGGAGGAGGAGGAGGATGGAGATAGCGGTGGCGAGTAATGAGACATGTTGAAGAGGGTTGAAGTTGGAGAAGCGGTGGAAGAAGAAGAGGAAGAAGAAACACAATGGCAAAAAACACAACAGCCGTTGTTGTTGGATCTTGAAGCATGGTTGAAGAGATTGTTAATGTTCTTCTTGCATGAAATGTCATTCGAAGAAGGAGAAGTTACCGGTAAAATTCTCAGCTGGCGAGGTGTGTGTGCAAAGAAACAAACCTTTCTCTTGCAGTTCTTTCCATCCTTACAGGCCTCTGTCCTGTATCTTGCAGGGTGCAGCCAGCATTCAAATACTCCATGAGCGAATTCACATGCATCACCACGATTGCACCCTCCACGACGATATTCAGGACACACAGTTCCCGAGTAGTGATACCGCCGAGGGTCACGGCGGCGAGCCTTTTCTCCGGGATGAGCAAAAGGGCAGTCAGTCCAGTCATGACTCCTGCTGCGAGTGCACCGGCGGACCTTGAACTCAAACATCCTGAAGTGGTCGGCGGAGTAAGGGTCATCCTCATCGGAGTCATCAAGGTTGTTGGAAGGAAGGAACTTTTGCAGCATGGTGTCGTCAGAAAACAACTCAGAGCCACCGCATGCAGCAGCAGCACGGCAAGTGAGGAGCTTCCTTGGAGGGACGTCAATCTCTCTGGGGGTTTTGTTGGGAGAGAGGAATTGACGAGAGGGGTGAAACTTGTGCTGGTCGGAACAGACACTGCTCATTTTGAGAACCTTGAATGATGAAAGAGAAAGGGAATAAGAAGAAAGAAAGAGTGAGTGAATGTTGAGGGAAAGAAAAGGGTGTTGTGAGTTATATAGGGTAGATGCAGAGGGAGAAAGTGAGAAGAGAGAGAAAAGGTAAGAAGGATGGAATGTAGGGACAGTGAAGGAGGTGCGTGGCATTGTAGCATTTGGGATGAACATGCAAAAGAGGGTATGTGGCAGTTTCATAATTCATTGGGAACACCAATTTTAGCTATGTGTAATTCTCTTACAGCTTCTCTCAGTTACTGATATCTCATCCCATTTTGAGATGCTGTCATCACATCTAACATGAAAATTCTAGATCACGTTAAGAGGGCTCCATCTACCTCACTTTCTTCCACTTCTTCTTTCATTGCATTTGTTTCTCTTTATTCTTTCTCCTTTGACTCAAAAGAAGTGTTCATAAAATTTTTGACCAATTGTCTCTTCGGAAGAACCAAGCAATGCATAACATTTCATTAGAGGTTTTAGCACTCCCATAACACTTAATAAAAGTGTGATTATGAGTCTGACATAGTAACAAAAGAGAGATACAAAGAAAATTCACGTTCTCTCTGTAAAATAATGGTTCAACTACTGAAGAAGGGAAGTGGTTGAACCTTAAAAGAGATGTGATAACATATATATGACGGATGGGAAACCGTGAATTGTACTGGTTAGACCCTGCAATGCAATTCACTGCACCTATTGAAAATTAAACTGTTTGAATAAATTACAAAATCTTGCTACCATTTTTTACCATCATCATGTTATTACCATAGTGTCATGGTTTTATGCTCATACCAGAAACAGTAGCATGTCATTGGTTTTATCTCTTCCTATGGACACAAAGCCTCATTTCTTCATCATTTCATACTAATAATGACCAGAAAATTAACACAAAAACTGATAATTAATAGAGAAAGCATATACAAGCACTGGTTTCTGAGGTATCCATGTCTATCCTAGAAAATTGAAAATTGGGTTTTTGTCATCATTGTTGAGCTGTTGAATTGTATGAATGCAAACAACTTTTGAGTTTCCCTGGTCATCTGGGAGTTAGAATTTGAGGAAAAAAAGGAGACCAAACTTTAATGCCTATTTCTGCTTTAAAAAATTTCTGCACTTTCTTTTTCAATAAAGAATAATCAATCCACATAATTGATGAAACCATAACTGACACTTCCTAAACTAAAAGTTCAAAACCTGAAGTTTAGGAAATCAGTATATACACAAGATGAATTAGATATAATGAAAGCTTTTGATTTCTCAACCACTCCCTCAAAACTCACAATACATGTTAAATTCATGAATTAATAATTCTCCCTTGTTTTATGTTGGAATGGTTTCAGGAGAAGGGTTCAAGCAGTTTGATTCATTTCTAACATTGTTCTAATTTGTTCAGGAATATTAGTAATATTATCTATTTAACTAAGACTGTCATTATTCATGTTGGAAAATATAAACACAATTGATTTTTTTGGAAGAAAAGTCATCATTTTTTAAACTTATGTAGTCAAATATTGATTCTTTTCATTCTTTTTTTATTAAAAAAATTATACGTATAGTTTTTACCTTTAATAATTTAAAATTAAAAATATATATATTTAAAATAGTAATATATTAAATTGTCAGTAAGTTGTTTTTTCTTTGTAAATCTAAAAATATCACTTCAAAATACTTTACTTATACATATCAATAACTTTTGGAATCCAGTGCTTCCTTCACCAGTTTATCCTTAAAGACATATTAGGTTAATTAAGAAATAATAAATTAAAAATCCCACATTATTTAAGGATTAATACAAAAAAATTGTTCTCTTTTAGCTTATAAAATACCTTTTAGAAAGAAAAATTGTGATTAAACACATCATTTCTCAAATTAACAATATCTCTATAATTAATGCTAACTATATTTCATTTTAGAAGACTTAGTATTAAATAGAATCTTCACACAACCTGTGAATCTCCAATTAAAATTTACTTATCTTAAGCTGATAAATCTCTTTTCACGTCTTGTATTTAAATTTTTAATATTATTTAACTGATGTTAGTGATAAATTAGTATGTCATTGTTGACTTGTTAACATGTTATTAGAGTCAATAGTTTGAAACTGACGTTATGAGAAGTTGAAGCTCATTCATTTCATTGATTGCAAATAACGTCATCTCCAATAAAACAATGGAGAAAGTAGAACGGGTAACAGTGTATTTATGATAGTAGAAAACATAACAATTCATTACAAATATATTAAATTGAAATGAATATGAAAAAAATAATTAAATATAAAAGAGTCAGGCCAATAATGGAGTCTATTTATGAAGGGTTCTAGAATTGTTCAGTAGAAAGTAAAATTAGTAGAGTTGTTTACAATATAATAAAAATTATATATTAAAGCAACTAATATTTACTTTTATGGTTAAAGTAAAAATTTGAACTTTTAAAAATTAATGAAAATCAAATTTGATTAATACTCGTTAGTTCAACTAGTTTAAATAAAAATATAAGAAAAGTTATATACAATCAAAAAGAAAAACACTAAAAATTTTAATTATTTTTTTAATGAATATAAAATAATAAGTACATAATAACACATTTTTATAAATTTTATTTATACAATAAACCTTACTTATTGCATACATTTGTATCATTCTACATTTAGCAATTAGCTTGTAAAATAATCAGTTTATTAAACATGTAAAATCCGATAAAGTAATTTACCATACCATTTGCTCCCAATTTATTTTTGAGGAATCATAGAGGATGATGGAGAAAGAATTTGAGCATCTAATAATAACAGTGCTGAAGGATGTTCTAATTTGTACAGTGAAAATTGGTGTAACATGAGTTATTATTTTTTTGAGAAGAAAATTGAAAACCATAGTGAGAGAAGAACTAAAAGTTTAGTATGAAAATGTTTGTCTATTAGTCTGAAGGAGAATATTTAAATAATTTGGATTTGGCATCACCTGAGAATAAGGTTTTCTTCCATGGTATGTCAGAAGAAATTTGCAGAGCAGTGTGGTTGTTCAGGAATCTACCCAGAAATAATTAGCTGGAGAAACTCAAATACAACATTTTTTCATGTCAAAAAGAATTGTACATTTTCTTGTATTTTTCCAAACCCTTTTTATTTTTAAATTTTAACCCATCTCACCATTAAAGTAACAAAATTTAATTTGCATAAAGTTATTAAACTCTCTTTGTATGTGATGTTTTATATTTGTATTATTTATAACTATAAAAAAATGTTATATATAATTTAATATATCATCATAAAATATGTATTTATATTTTAAAATAGTCATAAATCTTAAAGAATTTTAAATGATAAATTTCAAACTGAATTAACTATATAGAATTACATCAGTTAAAAAAATATGTATTTGTTATTATCACCTTCTTCAGCCTTCATTGCCACTTTATGTTACTATGTTTTGAGTTTCTATCACCATCCATAATCTATTTGTTTCTATATTTTTGTCTTCACAGAGATTCTCATTGCATGGCCACATGCTTCAATTTGTCTTGTGACTCCTTTCTCTTCGTGCATTCATACTCAAACCTTCTTATTCATCTCATTTAGTTCATATTTTACTTCCTTGTACCTCCTCTCCACCACCAAAACACTATTTGTTCCATGTTTTGACTTTCCCCTTGAAAGTTTTAATTTCTTTTCAAGGACATAGGCTCCCATCCCACTGCTATATTTGTAGGAGCACAAGGTTGAAACAAAAACATCATTTCACGTATGCTTCTTTTTCATAATCTATTTATAGTTGGCGTTATTCTAAACAAAATTTTTGGAGTCAATTATCTCTGCTGTGTTTTACGAACCAAAAATAAGAATTACTACTCATATCATTGACTGTCATCATATATTCAATTTACAAGCGATGTAGATAGACACAACTTTTGATGGTGAACATTTGATTGTGTTTAAGCCATGACAGTAATATAGATGAAAACATCAACATAGAGGAATAGAAGGCACTGAAACAACTTAGTCTCATTTTGTGAACGTTATTTTTTTCATTGAAGTTGGCATTCTTATTTTACTTCTGTATCCAAACCAGTTTGTGATATATGACTTAATGTTTTATTTAACAAAACCAATCATTGGATAAAATGTTCATTTTCCACAATGAAGACGTAATTTGCCACCATAAATACTACTTCTTAAGACTATGATAGTTCTCACAATGACAGATTGGATACACACTGATTGATAGATCAGGACATGAAGTAAAGCAGGAAACCTAACTAGTATTTTAGAAAGTAAATCTATACTACAAAAGATATCGCAATGCTTGCATAACCTTTTGGAAGGTTCTTATAATTAGTATGCTAAAGATTATTTTTGTTCTTTTCTTAGGATGCAACAGGGAACTCATCTTTTTATGTACATACTCAAGAAATTTATGACACTGTTAATGTCAAATGTCCGCCAATCAAGCCAAGACTATGATACTTCCTTCCGCCTGTATGCAAGAATCTGAAACAGCAGAAAAATGTGTGAAATTAAGTTGTTACCTAAAGTAATATTAAGGGAGAAAACCACCTTAACACTCACCAAATGCCCCATCTTGGATATGCATTTGGATCTAAGCCCTGCCAGAGTCTCGTGTTCTTGTAAAATTTCCAGTTCATCTTTGTGTGGCTCTATAACCAGCGTCGATAGCTCATCATATATGAGGGCTGAATTCTCATCAGCTGACTTGTCACGATTTGTGCTGTGGCATCCTTTGACTGCCAGTATCTCGATTCCTTCAACTGGAAAAGGTGTCTGACGAGCAACATACTATGTATAATACATAAAAATGTTAGACAATTATCATTCTTACAAGAAAACTAACACTGGCTCATCAACAGAAGCATACTATGCAATCATTTTTATTTTTTATCAACACGGGACAGAGGATCTTACTTCGTAAAGGTGCTCCACAGACAAAGTTGGTCGACAGCAAAGGTAAGGTTGTGGCAAACTTGGTGTATTTTGATGATCAAGAGAAACAAGCATGAGACGGACGTCAAACTGTGAAAAAATATAGCATCTTTATATTCAACTGAAATAAGAATTGAAGCATTCAACAGTAATATCTGTCACCTATTACACGAGGGAATGAGGTAAGAACCTATACCTCATTAGTGTTTTCATCCAAGCTTCTTAGATGATCAACAAACTTAGACAATCGACTACTGCGAGAACTTTTGCTATTGCTACCACCACCACTGCCATGTCGTGTGTGACTTCTGAAACCACCTCTTCCCCAAGTAAGCTTTCTATGTTTTGACACCTGCCTTGAAATTCCACGATTTTCTCTACTTATATCCATGTCACTATCATTGCCTCCATCTGGACTTGCCATAGATGATGAGGGTTGAGAGGGGCGAACTCTAGCCCATCTCTTTCGCCTTTTCTGCCTGTGTTCTGTACTTCGTTCATCGGCTGAAGATGAATCCTTTTCATTATTGTCGTTGTCCTCCTCATTGTCTTCCGATCCTTCAATTGTTTGACTTTGTCTCCTAGAATGAATGTTTCGTTGATTACGCTGTGATCTTGTTAGAAATACTCCTGGTGTATCTTTCCGTCTCTTAACAAGTGCTTCTGATTGTCGTTGAACTACTTTTGCTATTGAAGCTTGAATCTGTCAGAAAAGCTAGAATGCTGAGATTTGACAATTGAGATAATGTTGACAGACCAATGATAAGATTTAAAATTAGTAAGGCACAAGAATAAACCTTTAATAATGATCATTGATAAGATATATATTTAGGAGTTAATATGTCATGGGCTCGTGGCAGTCATACAGATTGTCAATCACTCAACATCAATCAGTAAAAGTGTTGCGATTTATCACTAGTTTAAGTATTTTACACACATTTGAATATTGAAATTATGCTTAATTTATATTTGTTTAATCAATAAATATTCACCTGCTTATTGCGGTTCTTCTCCTCTTCACGAAATTCTAGCTCCTGTAATGGGATAGTGAACAGTATCATTAGTGGAATGTGAAAGCTTTACCTTTATGTGATCAAAGTAGAAAATGAAGTAATAAACTGGTCAACTTATACCTCTTCTTCGTACTTCTCAATATCTGGATATAAAGCAGCAATAAGGGCATCATAATTTGGATCATCTCTCAGCGAACGGCGACTGGCACAATGTGTGCGGCAGGCCGGACATTCATTATTCCTAAGACAATACATAAATGATGAATGTGGCTACAGAGAGTATAAGGTGTTTTTCTGATGAGCATCATAAAGGACTTAGCCAGAAATTATCGGCGGCATATTAAATAAATAAATAAAACGCCTGGAATGGATTCATGGAGCCTACCCCAGTCGCATTGATTTGTCAATGCATTCCCTGCAAAAGCGGTGCAAGCATTCCATGACAGTTCTTGTCTTCTTGATAATGCCTGTTCAAGCAGTGGTTAGTTCTTCAGCAAACAAGCAAGATATGAAGTGATCTGAAAGTTTCAAAAACACTTTTCATAATGAAATCCAGGACTACAAGTGCTCAAATCAATAGCCAATCATAACTTGGTTAACTTGAAGAAAAAACACCTAGTGCATGAAAAAACCACATCCAGTGAAAGTACAGTACATAAAATATATGATCTTTTCAGTCAATCTGAGATTTACTTTTTTATCTTGACAGTTTTTCTTTTCGAGCAAAACATTTTACACAGCAATGCATGCTTCTAGGAATTACCAAATCAGTGTACAAACTAAGAGCTCAAAGAATCACTTACGGAGTAGAGCTGTGAAACTTGTATACCTAAATTTAACACGGCAACACAGGTCCAAGAATTGTAAAATCAGGTTAGTTTCCTAGTTTTCTGTTTTGATTTTATTTTCAGATTACGTTACTAGTTTTCCTCATTAAGTTTAGTTTCCCTATTATAATGCATTCTATTAAAAGCATTTGAGGTGTAATTGTTTGGCCATAAAATGAATATCTTTTGATTCATCATCAAATATGTCCTTACTTTAATTACTTAATTGAGCATCTCATATAACAGAATGGGGAACTTCGACTTTTCATAATACCCAAATCTTCATCACAACACCACCCTTGTCAGTTGCATCTCAGCAACTTCAATCCACTACACTCCACTCAGTTTTTTCGGTCGGCCCCTTTGTAAGTAACCATTTCTATTGGTAAAGAACCCAAGTCTCACATCAATGGAAATAATATCAAAATACAATATATAAGTTGGAACAATTCCTGCCTTACAAGTTGATAATATAGGGTTCATTAGGCTTAAAACTATTTGGTAAGAAGATATCATAGTCTTATTCATTTAAAGGGTCCACCACCATGTTATACACTTAGCAAGTCTAATAGTGTTTGACATGAGAATATATATATATATATATATATATATATATAT